ATTATCGTTACAGTTTAACTTAGTTTGACAGCGAACTTTTCTGATACAATACGGTTTTGCACCTCGTTACACATTAACATGGAAAAATGGCACTGTTCTACAAAGTTTGATTACAGTAATTATCGATAATTAAGTGTAAAATATAAAAATTAAATTAAAATTTAATTAATTAATTGGGAGAAGTTTTGTTGACGTAAAAAAAAGATTATATAAAGGAACATTTGTAACCCGCCATTTTGAATGTAATGTTTTTAGAATTAGTAAAGCACTGTAGCCAATAACTAGTTAAAGAATTAACCAAACAGCTGACCACAACCGCAAACTGGAAATGTCCAACACACACATTTTGTCGCAAAATAATCAGTGGTTATATCAATTAAGGTTATAGTTTATTAATACTATATTTTACCATTTTGGATAACACATGTAATTATATATTTATAAAAACAATATTTATCTGTCATTTTTATATGGTTGTTCATTGAGTTTTCTCATTTTGGCGCCAATACATTGTACAATATTTTGCGAAATAAAATGGAGTGGGGTTATGAAGAGAACCGAATCGCTGTGATTGCATTACAGAAAGTAGGTATGGAGCCAAATGAAATTTTTAAAGCCCTCTATACGCTTGGTATTAGTATAATATTTATGAACCGGGCTATTAATAGGAACAATGAGCCTCCTCTGTTTGTGACAGAAAAATATCTGGCGTACGAAAAAGGTGGTCAAAGCAGTAAGGGAAAGAATTCGAGAAATCCTGTCCCAAAGCAAAATATTTTATCTCGGGAGATGAAGATAGCACCTGAACCATGTCGCATATCTTAAAAGGCCGGCAACGCACTCGCGAGCCTTCTGACAATGAGAGTATCCATGGGCGGTGGAATCACTTAACATCAGGAGAACATCCTGCCCGTTTGCCTCCTATTACATTAAAAAATGCTTAATCTCCACTCTGGATGACCACGACAAGAAGTCGTTCCCATGTGACGTCAACAACATCGATTGGAAAGAGTACAGTGCCATATTCTGCAGGGGCGTTTACCTTTAGGGGCGGGAGTTTTTACTGAAAGGAAAATAAGATTATGATATATGATACTTTATTTCTCAAAAATGTCCATTGAGTATAGAAAACATTGTATAAATTAAACGATTAAGTGCTAAGCGGCCTAGTCAAAGTTGAAAGATTGGTTAACGCATAGTTTGTTTCTTTGTAAATTCGATTACCGTATCTCCTTTGGCCACAGAATTGGAACGCCGTAAAACGTTCAACTAACTCCATGGTGCTTTAAGTAGAAATAAAATTCTGCTGATTGTAGCCTATTAAAAGCCAATTCATATTATTCTTAATTTGGGTGTCTTCAGTAGATTTAATAAATATTTATATTAATTAAATTAAATATTATAACCGAAAGAGAATTCGATCAATTCGTTGTGTATTTTTTTCTGTTCGTGGATGCTCAAAGTCTAAAATGATTTGGGTGTGGCAATAGAAATCGTAGAAAAGGTTTTATAATCAGATCAGATTTCCGGATAATTACCAAAATAGCTCGTGAAAAATGTAACCTCGCGCCGCGTCGTGGTTGTTGGTTAATTGACCTATATTGATAAATTAAACGGTTTTACATTTAAGATAAATGAAGGAGTACAGTAAATTACCTATAAGCGATATATAACTTACAATGTTCAACTAATTACTAATCATAACTATAACTAAATCATAACTAATTTAATTTCTTTATACATTTATAAGATAATATTATATATCTTATTTTATTTGGAATTGAAAGGTCAAATAAACAATTGCGTTGCTCGCAAAATAAAGTTTTTTATTTTAGCACTTACACTCTATATTAATTACATTATTAAAGTACACACTATCCTACCCGAAAATAAAGAAACGATATTCAAAGTCATTAAAATTAACAATATTTTTTTAAGCTTTTTACAATATCCTCATAATTAAACAATATTATAGGTATTTAACTCCGATGACTTTGACTTCTGTCTACAAATCAACTACGTTTGCCAACCGCGATGGCTGCTAGCGCCATCTAGTATATAATAAAGAAATATACTAGTCTCTTTTAATATTTAATGCTATAATTTTAATTTACAAGAAGAAAATTTCTCAGTGGAGACAGTTGCACAGTCTATGAAACTTTATGATATAATTTTTTGTTGTATTCATTTATTTTACCAAAAAACTATTATACAATTAAACTTTAATACAGTATTTAAAATTAACTATTATTATGTATATAATGTATACGTACATATATAAAATCCAGGTACGTCTTATAGTATTATTTCATAAAATAATGTCAAAATCGTATATAGTCTATCTTTCTTAATAATTTATAATCATTTAATTACTTTGTTATTGGACACTTTCTTATGTAAAAATCCTTATTAGTAAACTAGGTTAGACTTAAATTACTTATTAATCTTAAGTTAGGCTAGATTGTAATTTTCCATGATGTCTTAGTAAAGACACATGTATAAAAAAAAATAATTACTTTAAACAGTTAAAAAAAAATTATTATAATTGGGGACATTTTGGAAATATTTTAGTATTTTTTTTATCTTGTTTTTGTCTATATTGATCTAAGAGTCAAGCAAAGTAAAATGTAAGTGTCGCAGCCAACTAGCTTAATTAGCCGTTCAATTAACAGCCTAGCGGCCTGAAAGATGTTCAGCCAGTTGATCTAACACCTAGGCAAATTTCATGGATCGATGACATTTCATTACTTGCCTAGCCTGTTGACGGTTAATGTATATTTAATTCCACATTCAAACACACAAACAAACTCTTCAAACTGTCAATATCGGCAAACCACAACTTTGATGGTTATTTCTAAAGTTTCATGAAAAAGAACAAGTACAATGGAAGAGTGTAGTGATAATAATAATGTAAATTTGACTCAAGCTATTTAATTTTAAAAGATATATTTTTTATGGCATATGTTTATCTTTTTTATTTATTCCAAATAATGACTCAATTGTACGAATGGCCTAGACATTAGCCAGCCAGTTTAACAAATGTTGTAACAAACGCTACGGCTGAATATCTTTCAGGCCGTTAGTTAAACGGCGCCGTTTAGTTAAAAAACTAGGCGCTTAATTTAACAGCTAATTAAGTTTGTTGGCTGCGACATATATATAATATTTTACATTTATTTTAATATATAAAAATAGTTTTTTATTAACTAATCAAATCTCATTATGAATAAAAGATAAAATGTGGGTTGGTACTTATCTTTCTACTTTTTATGTGATATAAAAATCGAGGTAAATAAGTTTTGACACGAAACTCGGCTTATGCGTGATTGGGAAGTGTTAGGGCATGCTTTTAAATATGTTTAAGCTACGACACCCATTGACTCTGCGCGTGTGTTATTATACAAAGTTTTACAGTATAGATATTATAGAATGTAGAGAACTGATTAGATAAACAGGTGTTTATATATAGATGCTGAAAATCCGTCATAATTTGTTTATGGCAAATGTATAAGTGTTTTGGCAATAATTTAAATCTTCTAAATTTTAACATGTAAGATTCACCACGTTTAAGTGGAATCAAATTGCTGGCCCTTTATGTACATATATACTTAACGTCGATCAAAATAGTTTTAAAAATACATTATTTTTGAGGAATTTTTAAAACTATTTTGTCAGATTCAGACAAGTCAGATTTTTATACTAAAACCTATTGACGTAAATTGTACGGGAATCACAAATATAATCTTAATTACTGTCGGAAAATTGATTAGAATTATTGAACGGAAGTGATAATAACAATCCTTTCACTTGATCGTAACATTTGTCAGCTGGTTATCATGACTGATAATTAAATCTGCATAAAATAAATGATCAGTGTCATTTGAGGTGACATTTGAAGCCCAGGAGTCCCCTTTGTATCTTCCAAGTATTTTTTTATAAAATGGGTTCACCTGATAAGTGATACTGCCGTCTATGGATACGAGGTAGAATACGAAATTTCACCCGTATCACTTCGACGTCCGCCGTTCCACAACTGAGCGATTCTTACGACAGTTTTTGCAGCGGACCGCCACTATTTGGAACCAGCTTCCGAACCGAACTAATTCGAATATTAGGGTCCTTTACGAAAAGAGCGTACCAATTCATAAAATGCCGGCAAGGCATTCTTGAGCCCTATGGCATTGAGAGTGTCCGGTGGGTGGCTGATGGGTGGCGGTATCACTTAACATCAGGTGAGCCTCCTGCCCAATTGCCCCCTGTTCTATATAAAAATTAATACTGCCCGACGGCTCGCGAGTTCTTTACCTTTTAGCATTCGGTACGCCCTTTTCCTGAAGCTGTTGTATAAAAATACTACCCGTTACTACACCTGCATAGTACATATATTATGAATACTGATTTCCCTTTAAACCATTCATGATGCCTCAATACATGGGCCCTAGCTTTCTTTACAATTATCCTCCACATTTTTATAAATCATCAAACTATTTATTTTCTAGGTGTTTTAAATAAATAATTGTACAATTTAATAAAAACTGCTTTCGCTTAATTGTCTCGCAAAGTATGCTAATATTTTACATACAAAAATGAATGACGCTTTTAAAATGTGCAAATTAAGTTAGCATTGTTGATGTTTTATTTTATTTTTTTAAATAAATTTATGACAATTTTTTTATTATATCCCTGCAGATTAAATATATAATCATATGAAATGATGATTTAGGACTGTATAAAATGGGTTTTAAAAGATAATCCCGTCTTGATTTTATATTATTCTTATATAAAGCGTTCAATTAACTCCATGTAAGGTAAGTAAGTAGGCGTTTTAAGTAAATTTTAAATACTGTTGATCGTAGCGTATTAATTTTTAAATATTATGTTACCTATATTTGTAATGAAATTAAAATACATATAAATTCTCTACATAAGGATTAAATTATTTTCAATACTCAAAGACCATGTTTAAAAATTTAAATTACTAATTTAAATAAAATTAAATCTTATTTTCCTTTCAGTAAAAACTCCCGAACGCCCCTGCAGAATATGGCACTGTACTCTTTCCAATCGATGTTGTTGACGTCACATGGGAACGACTTCTTGTCGTGGTCATCCAGAGTGGAGATTAAGGCCTGGGTCCTTTTCGATTTAACAAGCAAGGATGTAGACGTTGCCGGTCTAATAATATCTCGTAGTAGAGATGAACGAAAAGCTTCTTTGAAGTGTCTGAAAAATGAAAATAAATGTAACAAGTTTATTTTTCTATCGCTTCTTTGTTCTTCTATGTTCATGCTTATGTAGTGAGTTTCCTAAGTTTCTGGTAAGACAATTCTTGCTTAATCTAACCAAACTATGTCATAAAATATTGATTGATTTCGTGAACGTAGCATGACACAAAAGTCTAATCTCTTTTCATCCAAGAAAACAAAGAAAGAACAATAAGTGCTTGACACATTTATTTAGTTTGGTGATCAAACGGCAACTTGCAAGGCGACTATTTTAATTTGATGAAGCCCCAATCAAGCTGCAGTAGTGCTGCGACCAAATTTATGTAGTGATGTATTTGTGATCGTAGATTATATTATAGATTAAAAGGGCAATCTTACAGGTACGAAAATAAATACTTCATTTATGGGCCTAAGTATACGCTGGTATAACATATTTCCTAGTGAAATATTAGAACAGCCCTGCGATTCTGTAACTCACTTTTCGAACCCACACAGCGGTTTTCGCATCGGCGGTCGCTCTCAAATCAGTCGTGAAGCAGTCATTTTATGATTTGGCATTCTGAAAAGGTGGGAGCTTGTAGTTTATTGTTTATCAGAATGCCAAATCATAAAATGACTGCTTCACGACTGATTTGAGAGCGACCGCCGATGCGATAACCGCTGTGTGAGTTCGAAAAGTGAGTTACAGAATCGCAAGGCTGCCTTTGAATAGATTCAAAACACCTATTAAAAAACATTAATATGCAAAGATTACTACACAGTTAATGACCACGTAGAAGACAAAAACGCGTGACAATAGTTCTAGTTATATTGTTATAATTTCTTTTGTTATCTTTGAAGTGTTGTGAATATGTGTGTAATGGTGAATGTGGTCAATCACAGAACAGATTTTTATTTTTTTTTACTTATGTAACTTTAATGACGTTGTGGTTTATGACATTTTCCTTTGAATAATTGTAATGTAGAGGGAGGGTAAAACTTGCTGAGTGAGGAGGCCTTCTCACAACAAGGCCTCCTGGTAGTTTTGCGAACGGATGGCGTAGTCTTGCTCTTTCGCGAATTTTGTAAACGTTTTTGACATTCATAAGCATGCGCTAAGACGTATTTAAACTGAAAAAAAGGGTGCGTGTACTTATGTACGCGCTTAAGAAGTTATACTTCTTTGGCATTATTAAAAATAGTTTTTGATTGCATGCAAATAATTAATTACAATTAAATAATCAAAGACTGAAAAAGGAGTCATTATAGTCAATTAAGTTCAGTTTACATTTGAAAAATTAAATAAATAATTATTTATTATTATTCTCTTACATTAAGTGTAACATAAATTCTATTTAGTTAAAAGTATATATTATAATATATTTAGAACATCTCTACCAAACATTAAGATGTATGTTGTAGCTTTGGCAGTATTGCACAATATAAAATTAATAAATTTCTTTGAAAAAATAATTAAAACTCCTTTATTTGTTTAAAAGGTAAATGACAAATGTCATTATGGTCATTCAAAATTCTTGGCATACGAACTTCACGCATATTCTATTTCTTTTTACTTGTAGATTGTCTTATTCCTATCTCGCTCGCGCACGCTATAATCACACTCCCAATTTTGTGTCACAGGTGCGCGCGCATCGTAAAATTTCACTCTCATAAATTTTTCATAACGCGCCTAAAGAAGTATAACTTCAAAAATGTATTTTGATTTGATTGATTGTTTGTCAAACTTAAAGTACTTAAACTAACAATGTTAATCTCACTGGCGATATAATTTTATATATATAGTAGATACGTGAACATTGCGTTCTTTAATGTAATAGTTACTGTATTATCAACCGATTAAGAAGCTGTACACATATAAAAATTAAATTTTACATTAATATTACCTTTGTCCCACGTTACTTAAAGTTAGGATTAGAATAAATACATCCCTGTAATGAATTGTATCAGCTCTCTATGCCTGAAACTTTTGCCATTGATAGCTTCTTTATTTTCCTTTATTGTATAAGAAAGTATTCAAACTATTATATATAGTATTAATTCGAACATTCAGATCCTAATGGCACAACCAGTATTTGAACACATGACTTCAGAATAGAGAGGCGCTTTGCCACGATGAACTAAAGCGATAAGTCTTGTTTTTAAAAATACATAATTTCATGTGTTATCAAAAATGGTAAAAAAATTTAGTATTAATAAACTATAAGCTTTAATTGATATTACCGCCGATTATTTAGCGACAAAATGTGGTACGCTTATTATTTTTTTGGTAATTGGTACGGTACGCTTTTTTTACATGAGAAGTGTGATTTCCTAGTGAGAGAGCAGACCTTGCGGGTGTTAGGTATGATCCGTGAAATCCTTTAATTATAAAGTTTATGCAATATTTTTGTAATAATACATAAAAGTTATTTAAGGTTTAATTATAAGTTTTTAAACTTACAATTTTTGACCTAATTTTACTTAATTTTTGATTTAAAATCTTGAATTTTTATATGTGGATATACCTAACATCCCGTAGAAACTATGATCTAGAAATCGATGTGTGTCAGACTCAAAACCTAGCTACTTGATTATGAAGAATAATCTACATTATTTATACAAAGTAAACTGTGATTGTTTGCATTGAATAGACTCCAAAACTACTGGACCTATTTGAATAATACTTGTACCATTATAACCGTACATTATCCCGAGGATTAAGGATAATGTAGATAGATTAGTATAGGCTATATAATATTTTCAAATAAGTTAATGAATCCGTATGAAATCTTGGATAATTTAACCACTTTGAAGAAAAAAAAACAATAAGTTCGTGTTCGCTGCGAAACTATTGACAATAGAGCAAAGTGATGTACTACAAGTACATAAATATATACAAAAGTCCAGCTTTTTGTAAAATCTGTCCAACTATTACATATTTAATAAAAAGTTAAAATGTCGGGAAGACTAGTTATACATAAAACAAATGCAGACATTCTGAAGCCTCGGCTCATAGGCTTGTCGAGCCGCAGGAAATTTGTAAAGAAGTTTGTTTTTTTGTTTGTTTGTAAAGAAAATTTAGAGTATCCTTTACGTCACAGAGTTGAAACTAATCCTAAGTGCGTTCTTTAGATTTAAGTATAATAAAAAATTACCTAGGTTTTTTTCCTCTTAAGACCAGTCCGACATCAGCAAAGAAGCAAGGTACCGTTTGCAGAATAAATGTCATCGTATTCACTACGAATTTTGATTTTGATACCTTCATTTCTCGCATGTTCTTATTAGCTGAAATAGTTATGATTTATTAAATAATAAAAATCCAGTGGCGCTACAATCCTATATGGGTCTTAGCCTCAGAATGCATCCATTTCTTTGATTATTTTTATTTCAAAGACAAGTAAGACTACCTTCTATCAACAAGTAACAAGTAACATATCGGTTTCCTCACGATGTTTTCCATTACCGTGCGCACATGTGTAGCTGATGGTACAAAATTGGAATCGCGCGGAATAAAAGCTCGAGTCGTGATCGCACTCACTGGATGCTACTAAGTACTGGCTAGTTAAGGTTTTGCGGCATGCCATAGTCAAAGTAGGTTAATTATTATACTTACAATAACCTAATCGTTTGCTTTGTTCTAAATATAAATCAGAACCGCCTTTCCAAGTAATAGGATTTTCCGAACTGGAGCATATATTATACACGGAGATGTCGTCCGTTCTGAAATATAAAGTTTTAAATTATGATAAGGTCTTAAAAGCTCAAAGACTAACTTTAACTCTTTTGTTTCTCTCTGTCAAATTGTGTTTACACTGTGATGAAAAAAGAGGGACATTAGTTAAAATGGTGACAGACTGATTTATTCTTTATGGATAAGGCGGAAAGTATTTTAAAAATCAATTAAGATTCGTACAAATAATCGAATAACAAAATTATAGTAGATCCATTCTTTAATTAAAATTTAGTACATAATATTTAAATGGTCAACTCATAGCTACTAATTTGCAAGTTACACATTTATTATATATAGAAATACGCTTATTAATGACAAAGTAGAATAAATATTTTTTTATATTATTTACAAATTTCGTACATTTTTTCTTTACTTCAATAAATTTATACACACGCACATCGTTATAATCAGTTAATAGATTTTCATAGAATTTTGTATTTTAATTTTTAAGTTAACAACTACTGTTTATATTCACATATAACATATAGCTCTGTACTCAGCACAATACAGCCTTAGAAATACGGACTTTGGTAACTTACATAGCTCCCTTAGCCCCGGCTATGATGATAAAATTTGCAACGTAATCAACGGGAATAATATCGCAAACGACGTCCTCAGTGCTATAAATGTACGGATTTAGACCCCTGGATACGTTACTGAAGACGGCTGTAGCTGACACCCAACTGTCCACCCAACCAGGAAGCGGCTCGTGGTACATCGAAGTAACTGGAAAATATAATGTTTACAGAACTTTATTTCTCATTACAATTGTTATTTATATATATGAGAAACTTAATATGTATATACGAACGAGATACACGTCGCAATCAGCTGTCCCAATTTAAGTCTACTAGGCTCATTCTAATATGTATCTTCAATGCCCTTTTGAATTGGTTAAACGCGCTAATATTACAAATTTTAGAGGGTAATTGATATAATAATTGCACACCCTCATGCTTAATAGACTTCTTCAAATAATTTGTACGCGGCTTCGGCAAGATAAGCAAACTCGGTGGATGAGTATTGTGTGCAGTAGTGTGTTTGATTTTTTTAAATGATAAGCTACTATGGAGAGAGTTATTTAATTGTTTTTAAATTAAGATACAGGTGCTATAAACACATAGTTGTTTAATCGTCATAATTTTGGTTTATTTGTCTATGTTAAATTTATTTATTTAATAGTGCTTTATTTATTTATTTATTTATTTGCTCATAGGTATTCCTACAGCTACTTATTAAACAATATTCAAACAATAATAACACTGTACACAAGAGCCAAAAACGGAATACACACAAAGCACAGTTTCACCTATACAAATACAAAAAAATATACAAAGAATATATGTATTTATGATAAATTCTAAGTTAGATTTTGGTTACGATCGAAAACGATGCGCCCAAATTTGGGGTTGGGGGGGGGAGTAGGGGTGTTGTTATTACCCCCACAAATTTTGCGCGCCGGAAACAAAAAATATTTTTTTTTACCTGGGGCAAGCCTCATTAAACCTTATTCAAGCCTCCCCATATCGGCTTCTTGGTCAAATTGACCAAATATTCATATACTAACCTAACCTAACCGATCTAAATAATATTTGTTTTTTTGGACAGCTCCGGCGCTACGGAAATGCAGCCCCTCCACCCTTGCGTACCAAAGGACAGGCATTTTCCTCTTCCTCCGCGCCCCGATTATTTATACACTCCAGGGGGCAGACAAGACCACGTGGATAGTGGGGTCCATCGGTTTGGGTACTTTTAGAATAATTTAAAAATTTTCGGAACAATACACTAATTGAAACATGAAATTAATGTAATGTACACTCGGCGTCAAAAAAATCGCACCTTTCTTAAAGTTCGATTATAACTTCTAAGATCCTTCCTGTACCCTATCATTATTAGCATCATTTAAAAGCTCAATTAATAAGCTTTCAAAAAAATAATCATTGTTTACGGGAAAATTAAAAACCACAAATCCCCAGCACTTTGATTAAAACGTCGATGTACGCGTTTGGAGGCTCACTAATTGTTCCACCCTGGACGCGTATAAAACGAGGGGTTAAACTCAATTATGGGTTATTCGCTATCCAGACGTCACAGAGGTCAACACCTGAAGAGCGTCGACCAGAAAAAACCAGTGAAAATGGATACGATGGCAGAAGAAGCAGCTCAAGTGGTCCTCTGCAAATCGGACTACGGCAGGTTGAAGTTGCTCGGTAACATCATCTGGAGACATGGATCCGGGAGACGTCGCTGCACTACCGTCAGAGGTGATCGCTACATTGTTTCGACGTCTTTGCGGAACCGCTTCTCCAACGCTGTGGAGCTGCGCAGCGGCTTTGAGCTACTCTGAAGGACAGCCGACAGCGTCTCCACTATCAGGAGAAGGCTGTGAGAGAAGAATTTGCTGCCCCGTTGAGCTGCTACAGGCCCTCAAGGTTAACTGGCCATCCACCGGAAGAACAGGAAGCGATTTCACGCGCACGTACCGTGGAATTCGACCAGTGGAGGAATGTCCTGTTCTCCGGCGACCCGGTGGGCCTGAACCCAACAACATGCGTAAGAGAGTCTACAGGCGACCAGGGGAGCGTTTGACACCAGCCTGCACCGTGGAAACCGTCGGGTATGGAGGAGGATCCTGCATGTTCTAGGGCGGCATTTCTATCGACGGCAAGACAGACCTCGTGTGCGTCTCCAGAGCTGGAGATGGTCGCGGCCAGGGGTCTCTGACTGCCCACCGGTATATCACCGAGATTTTGGAGGATCATGTGGTCCCATGTGCAGGTTTTGTCGGCGCCAACTTCGTGTTCATGCACGACTACGCCCGGCGCCACACAGCCTTGATTGTCAAGGACTACCTACGTTGAGTTGGCATCAAGGTTATGGACTGGCCAGCAAGAAGCCCCGACCTCAATCCTATCGAGCACCCCTGGGACGAGCTGAAACGGCGAGTTCGGGCCCGTGATCCAGCTCCTGCCACTCTCGACGAGCTTCGAGATGCCGTCCTCGAGGAGTGGGACAACATTCCCCAGGAACACGTCGTGACGCTCATCAGGTCCATGACTGACCGCTTGGAAGCTGGTCGGAGGGCTAGAGGAGGCAACACTAGGTTTTAAGACTAATTTTTAAGGGTTGTCATTGTTCATTTTTAATTTTTGTATTGTTCATTTTCTTTGTAATTTTGATCAGAATACACATTGTTTCACATTTTCCCACAATTTTCTTTTTTTATGGGGGTGGTGGCCCATTTCCTACCGTTTTCCAATAAGGGATTTCATTAGCTTACAAATGATACTAATAATGATAGGGTAGAGGAAGGATCTTCGGAATTATAATCGCTTGACACGAATTTTAGGAAAGGTGCTATTTTTTTGACGCCGAGTGTATGTACATTTGACAAGTAATGATTAAATTAGGTTCAACTATAAAATTAACAAATGAGGAAATAATCGATTATAGGGAATAATGGATCCGATTAATTTACCGACAATGTCACATCACTTATAACCAATTAGAAAACGAGAATGACACATCACTTATAACCAATAGAAAAGTAGATAGATAATGGTGGATTGTTTATAAATTTCAATACATTTCACAAAACTTATAAAAATTTTTAAATACTTTGACGCATTTCCGGCAGCTAAAATCACTTGGAGGTGTTCCAATCAAGGTCCCCGAGACTCCTGCATAATCAGTATCATCAGATTCCAACGCACTATTATCACACCCAACCCTAGATTTTCATTGTTCATTATAATATATATTTAATACAAAGGAAGAATTTTTAAATTATTTAAGTTTTTTTTTATTATTTTTTAAACATTTTTTAGTTACGTTAAATATATTATCTATTTGCTGGTAATTTGTGTTATAATCTGAAGGTATACGATACGATACAGTTTGTATTAGACCGAGGAATTTTAAATAGTTGGGTTTGCCTTGTATTGTATGAAGAAGGGGTGGAGAATAGTAAAAGCGACAATAAGTCAGGATTAATTTATTTTGTAGAGTTTGTATGTTAGAAATTTTGTTTTTGCATGCTGTACCCCATATTTCAATAAGATATATGATTTTTAACCATGTTTGGTGAAAGACCGCTTATATATTAAGTGTACCTTGAAACCTGGCTTTCTTCTGATACAAGTTAAACAATTGTAAAAGGGATTTTACTTTACTTTTTGTTCGTATTATCAGCAGATAATAAATATGGAAGAGTTCCAAACTATATTCTATCTCGGTTGCCGGATTAATATATATAGGCCGAGGTAATTGACCTCTGGTGCGTTGTAATTATAAATAAAATATTACAATTGTATTATAATTATTGTAGGAAAATCAGTACGTATAATATTAGCTCAAAGAGAAGATTAAAAAACTGAAAACTAAAATTGTGTTGTTAAAAAAAGTTCTTACCCATTGATGGTCGTACTATAATAGTCGGTAAATACTCTTTATTTTGCCTCACTACTTCTTCGCATAACCCCTTCGATAGTGTATATGTATTAATAGCATCCGCTGAAAATTAAAAAAATCAGATTCAAACACATTACATTTCGTCGTTAGGGCGATTTAATAGCCTTTATAATAGCATAGAAGACGCGCGCACACGCGGAGAGCAATTCTGCTATCTGGACTATCAAAAATGTATTTTCTTGATCTCATCATACTCCAACAGTCTCAGTCTTCATGGGGATTCTTGCAAAGAATACCATTCTCAAAAGTGATTAACCACCACGGCTGAATTGGTCAGGTTGTTGCGGTTTAAAATCCATAAATAGAGAGCAGAAGGTAGATTACCAGCTTATCCATACAGATGGTAAAGGACAGAGCCGAAAATTTAAAAACTAACTTTTTTTTTTTAACACAACTTACCGATATATTCATTTACTTTCGTATCATCTGTTCCATGGTCTCGTATCATTTGTCGGACTGCGGATAATTCTTTCGTATGAGAGTATAGCTTCTCTTCGAGTACATGGAGATGTACATTTGAAAAGGCGGTCGAAATATAGACGAATTTCTGAAATAATAATAATGTAATATTTTATGTTATAAACTGCAGATAACTTGGACTTGTTTATGTTGTGTTGTTAGTGACATACACATATTTTATAACAATTTTGTATGATTTGTATAAAACTGTACAACAATCTAAAGCATCCCGAATGCTTTTATTAAATACTATCTGACTCGGCGAACATACGTGTAACAGATTAGTTGAACTTAATTTATTATTTTATGGAAGTAATACATTGAATACAAAATAAATACGATACTAATGTAAAAATTAATACAATGAGAAATAAAATTTGTAGTATATCTAAGTAAAAAAAAATGACGGGTGGCACTCCGGGAATGCCGGCAGAAGTGAAAACTTGAATATTAACGTTGTGCATTTTTGATATTTTGGAATGGTTAGGGAATAATTTTGCACAAATTTCTTTAATTATCAGTATAATTTATGAGGTAGAATACAATATTTATTTATTGCGCTATCGTACACAAACATGACAATTTATATTACATTAAATACTGGTCTAAGATCCCGATATACAACGACCTTCACCGAGATGCTTATTTAATGAAACGTATTTTATATTTAATTTAATATGTCAATAAATATAATCCATATGGGTTGCCTAGCAAATTTCAGTCCAGAGTATGTTTAATTAATATTTAAAAAAAAATATTTTTTTATAGTTTGCATGTAGTAAATTTTTTAAATTTTTTTCATTCAATATTTTTAATCAGGGTAGTATTATATATGTATCACTATAACCTTCTGAATTATCTTCTTTAAAATCTCAACTTTCAATGATAACAAAAACAGGAAAATACGTATAGTATAGCCAAAGAGATTTTATTACAAGTTCATACATAGTATAATGCGAAAAGACTTTCCCCAACCAAATCCTTTTTCATTCCAGACACAATTCTACAATTTTGTAATCTAAAATACGCTATTATTCAGTAATTAAGTATTTATAACAATACTTACTTCTAAATTTCTTATACTCCTAGACAAATCTATCACTCGTTGTGTTCCCTCTACGTTAATGTTGATCATATCTTGAAATTTTTCAATGAATCTGACGGTAGCTGCCGAGTGAAATACTACTGACACCTAAAAAAATATATTTATTTATCTAACAATTTTCAATTCATAAAGGTCTGCCAACAGGTACTGCAATAAAATACCTTCTAATATGTTTCATATTTTGTAAATGTGATGATCTTAATCTGATGTAACTTAAAAAAAAACTGCTCAGTTTTCTTTCTGTGTCTCGGCCAACGGAATTTGAAAATATGATAGTTTAATTACTGTATATGATATAAAAAAGTAACGTACCTTATCAGCCAAAGTCTCTTTGTCATCTGGCGTTAAACCCAGCTGGGATGTTGCAATATCTCCTTTGATAGGAATTACTTTCTTCAAATCACCTGGCCTTGTTTGTTTTAATTTGTCGAAAAGCTGAATAAAATAAATTTAATTAACATTTAATAAAACATCTCTAGGAGTCTGCGCACATTTTGTATGAACTTGGAATTTATACCAAAAAAGTTAAAAGTCAAAAAAAGACCGTATGGCTCGGGAAATACACGGCATAATAATCATATATATTTCTGCGTTTGTTTCATTGATAATTAGATATGTAGGCGACTAGCCAAAACAATGATTGGTTCTCTAGGGTCGATGTTATGTTTTATTGTATTCAAAAATATAAAAAATATTATAAGCCAATTAATCTTGAACACTAACCGGAACATCAAATATTTTTTGTAAACGTTTTTCTGTGTCTACGCCGTGCTTAGGTCTAATCAGCACAAACACATTTTCAATATCCTTGCAATTGGAAAGTAACCTCTCAATAAATACCTGAAATTTGATAATAATTAGGAAAATTTTATTCTTTGTAAAATTTAATTTAGGGGGGGGTTAAATTAAATTTTACATCCGATCAGAATCATATTTGCTACGTGTTCAATATATACCCCCATATTTAAAAAAATCTAAACAATAGGTACATAGCTTTAACTAAAGTACTTTTGTATCAAATGGTGTTTCGTTGTGATAATGAGACAGTACTGAACTTTAGTTAAGGGCCGATTTACATTATCTTACTGTTTAGGAGAGTATTTAGTACAACTTGAAAGGCAAGTTCTTTAGTGCTTTAGTGCGTTGCGAGTGAACGTTTACATTTCTTCCAGTAGAGTATCATTACAGCTCCACAATGAACACGCGACGTCGGCAAATACGCTCTATTCTACCCAAAATACTAACTGTAGTTATGGAACAAATAGAAGACGACATTTTATTCGAAATAAATAAACTAAATATAAATAATAAATAAAATAGCTTTTTTTAAGGCAGTGTATGCCGAATGCCTAGCCTGTTTGTTTTTGTATAAATTGTTTGTAACGTTCCACTAACATTCGTGAACAACATATTCAGACACAAATTTGATAGTTGTATCTTCCGACCATTTAGCCATATTTAAAAATAAAAAAAACACGCAAGCGTTTCACGGCACTTGTGCACTCTAAAGATTCTAAAGATTTTACTAAATTACGTGTTTACACACAACGAGGGAAGATCTCGGGGGTTGCGCGGGCGCGGGAGGGGTATCACTTGAAACAAAAATAAAAAGCGATTCTATTTTGATTCAACTTGAAAGTCAAGTAGAACCGTACTAAAGCAAGTAGCGTTTACCAGTTTCAACTAAAGTACTGTCCTAAAGCACTCTGCTTAACACTAAGATAATGTAAATCGGCCCTAAGATAGTGAAATGAGACTTTATATTTTGTTGTGCAGGGTGCAATAATGTAAAGGTAATGTACCAAACATTTATATTTATATTTACTTTTCTCAAATAAGGGTGTAGACGAGAAAAACTGGCAAGAAACTCCCGGCCCCTGTTGTTAAATCGAAAGTTTTGACGCATGCATTTCTTTAGGCGCATGAGGGTAAATTTTTAAAAGTGATACATGTATCTTATGTTCCATAATAAACATATTTTTTATTTTATTTTATAAGGAGTTTTCAGCTGGGTTCTACAAAGCCGATTTTCAATTAATATTATTATAATTGATAATTGACTGAAATTTCACTAGCATAAATGATGATTCTAACTATTATGGCATAAAATTAATTCCGATACAGTTATTTTTAAAATTGAAGCGTTGATTCGTCAGAATGCCGAGACGCTTCGGATTCGATATCCGTAAATTTTACTGCGTCAACTGGATGGTCAACTTACATAGTTATAGTTAAGATTCCACCGACCAAAAAAGAGTTAATAATATGTAATAATAGACATGAGATAAATAAAAAGGAGTCTATATTCGTACCTTTCCTACAAACCCTGTAGCTCCTGTGACGAAAACTGATTTACCCGCGTAGTAATCTGCCACCCGTTGGTAATTTGTCTCCAGTGACCTGGACCTGTAAAAGTACTTTATGTAGCAATGCTATGCCATAACGATATAGTAGCTCTAACCGAAATAATATATTTACTTTGGGATGGATACAGTAATAATTATCCTATCTAATGAAAACCAAACTTTAAAACCATCATTTAATAATGAAAAAAGGGTGCAAATTTCCTTTTTTTCAACTTGCCTGGAAATATTAAGGTTTCTAGATTCGCTGAAAAATACAAGCACGGGCCTTGGCACGTATTAGAATACTCAAAAAGATTGTGATCCGAATTAAAATAGGTAAATTGCCACAGGGTCCAAAGTCCAGCAATTAGAACAATGCCATACAGATTTATTATTTCTCAGTATATTCTATTAGTTTTTTACGTAAAGATTGATTTTTTTACGATTTTATTAGTTTAATAATGACAGTACAGACCTCGATAAAAATTTTAATTACGCAAATTATTCAAACATTTATAAAAAAAAAAAAAAAAATACAAAGCAGTCTAAAAAAGGAAGTACGAAGTAATTTTTTTCATTTGTTTAATATATTTTTTGTATTCATTATGCTGTGTTAGCTATTAAGATATACTTAAGAACTTTTATGCTATTTTACGGAATATTATAAGTATGTGATAACTTCTATAAGCTGATCAACAAATAAATAAATACATTACCCCGTGTAGTGTCGTGATCCATTTCTTGCACTATTAACCACACAGCGGATAGAGCAAAACATTGTTGTCAGTCTCGTTATCTACCAAAGAAAATCCATAAGTTTTTAAAGTAAATTCCAATTGCGGAAATTTCGTTCTTTATTTACTCTAATTGATCTTAATTTCGCATTGAAAAGAAGCCAGGTAAAATTATCCTGTAGGCTAAATTTACAGGCCCTTAACATCAGTTCATTGAACCCATTTATTTATAGACTATAACAATGTTTTTTACACACTATTACTTTTATTATAAACTTCATAACTCTCAAACATGGAACGGATGAACTACACGACAAGAACGAGCAGACGAAGGACCGAGAATTTTACGTGATTATCCAAAGCACGTGTTTAAACAATTCCAACGTCCAAACATAAAGTAAGAATCACTATGCAAGCAAACACTAAATAATGCTTTCAAATGAGCCTTTATTTTACTTTTCAGTTAAAAGATCGCCTTTACTGAGAGGTTTCTAATCATTATATACTTAATATTATAAACAAAACTTACGTGTTAATCCTTTAAAACAAAAAAATATTCCTTCGTGTATCAATACTCGATGTTGTATTGTTAATCAAAGCCCTAAAATTGGGAGATTCTTAAAAATCTTCCACACGTACTGAAAAACAAGGGAAAACAGTTAGTAAATTTTCTAAATGTTCAAAATATTGCGATGTGTTTAGTAGAAAATGGCGTAAAACATCCAAGTATATGTTATATGTATGTATACGTATATATTTTTTATCGGTATCGTTGAATTAAATTCTGTAATGGACAAACTTCAACTGATTAATATAGTTATAACTTAATCATAACTGAATTGGGATAATTATCATTAAAAATGATTGATTATATAGAAAACAATTCAATGCCACTATAGTTAATGTTTTTTTTAAATGTAATAAGAGGCAAACGGGCAGGAAGCTCACCTGATGTTAAGTGATACCGCCGCTCATGGACACTCACACTGCCAGAAGGCTCACAAGTGCTTTGCCGGCTTTTCAAGAACTTGTACGCTCTTTTCTTGAAGGACCCTAAGTCGAATTGGTTCGGAAATACTTCAGTGGGCAGCTGGTTCCACATAGTGGTGGTGCGCGGCAAAAACTGCCTTAGAAAACGCTCAGTTGTGGAACGACGGACGTCGAGGTTGTACAGATGGTATTTTGTATTTCGCCTTGACGTCCGATGATGAAACTCAGCTGCAGGCATTAGACCGAACAACTCCTCTGAACACATAGTAAATGCGCTAGAAGATGCAGAGAGACCTCACATCTCTACGCAATGCCAAGGGATCAAGCCGCACGGAAAGTGACTGGTCGTCGTATTACATTACCTGCATTTCCGGCAGTTATAAATAGAAGTTCATTAAGAAACTATTGCTGACCTCTTAACGAATAATCAATTATTAACAATATAATATTTCAACGCAAGTTCTACATATTTAATTAACAATTAAAATAATAATTGATTTTTAGTAATTAAATCGATAAATATATTTAATATATTCAATTTAAAGAAGTATAAAAGACTATGCATGAAAAAAATAAAATACACCGCTTATGAACTTATTTAAAAAATTATATGCCACCGCTTTAGTCTTCAAATCAATTTTGAAAAACTATTTTTTTGTCTGTTTTTTTTTTCACTTTTTCACTATTAGCTTTTAATTTTTCACAACTATTTTTACACCACTGCGTAAATCTATTTCTCGCACATTTAACGACATATAACACGCAAACTTGAGTAAAACCTATTTTTAGGATTTTTTTAATTCGGAGCACGACGAAGTGAATACCTTTTTCTATATTATGTAATAAAAATATATCCCACAATCAATCCTTAGAAATGTGTGTGTTATTTGGATTTATCCAATTAATATATATTTTTTTTTAATTTATGAAAAGCACATATATAAAGCATATAATAATGAATTTTGACCAATGATATGCAAAAGAGAGAGTAAATTTTTGCCCTAAACAGGCATTTAACTACGATTATCTATTAGATTAAGCTAACATTACCGATTAATAGTGAGATTACAATTATGGTATAAGTAATTATAATTTATTGAGTTATTTTATAACATGTCTAATGTTTGCATTGATAAAGACATATTTGTCTTTCATGTACAATAAATAATATCTTATTACTAGTTCATAACCTTTAAATTGAAAACATTGTCGAAATTATTGGCACCAAACATTTATCGATAAAAATTGATAACAATTTCAAAAAAAATCTTAATTTTTTTTTCATTAGTTTTTTACGATTTCTAAAAAATCCGGTCCAAATATAAAATGACAAGGAGTTGATGATGATGGGACATCTCCAACTCCTTGTCAATGGAGGAAAAAACTTGGGATCGTGTGAGCATTGAATTAACAGACTAGTCGCTATAGCAGCCCTGATGGTGTTATCCCAAAGAGATGGTCCAACTAAGCATAAAATTTTCTGCATAATTAATCATAAATTTTCCCATAAAAATATTCACGTAATTTTTAATTTGAACTTTGATATACTCTGCAAAAAAATGAACTTACTAGTATATTTTTCCTCTGAAATGTCTTATTACAGCGTAAATATAATAAGGGTTACATTTAAATATCTACTCTTGCGCAGTTGAGCTAGTTGAGTACGACTGCCTTCGAGGCGACACAAACACGTATGATTACAGATCGAGGCTTAAGGTAAGCTTTTAAATGATATTACTAGTATATTTAAAACCATAGTTATATATTACTACAACTTAGATTAATAACTTTTACAACACTATCTATTGAAGGAAGTAGTGCAAATTGGAAAAGTAAACCCTAATGTCGAAATTACTTACTTATTGTGCCTGGTACCCCTTCTCCTTCTAATTTGTCGATTTACACTCTTGTTTTTGTCACTATTGTGCCTGGTACCCCTTCTTCTTCTACTTTGTCGATTTACACTCTTTTCCCGTCAATTGTCTTTGTAATTATTTAATATTTTTCTTTACTTACTCCGTCACATAATAATTCACCATATATAATTATTCTATAATTTGTAATTTAATCAATCAAATCTCTTATGAGCTTAGCAGTGTCGCCCAGCCAACGCGTCGGTGTTGATTAATCAAGTGAACCCGCTGTTTGTTTAGCGCCGGTTTAAATAAATGCGACTTGTGCCTTCTAAGCTATATATATATACTGCTCAAAACAATTACGGGAACAAAACTTTAAAGTAGAAGTAAACTTTTTACTTAAGGTTTTAATTATTACTGGCCACTAGATAATGTTAAGGCATTGTCGAAGAAAATAAAAAACAAAAGAGCATCGGCGTTTTGGTTAGTAGTCCTATAACAAAGTGGCAGTGTGTCTAGAAACACCTAAAAACAAAGTGACGTCTTTGAATTTTCATTACTTTCTAATCACAGAAAACACATTTTAAGTAGTTTTTTTCAATCTTTTGAGTATTAATAGAAATTGAAGTGAGCCTTTTGAGTATTGTTATTCATTGAAACGAGTGAGTTTAGGTCATAATGCCAGATCTGACTGAATTGCATGTCTCCCGAGCTATCGCTTTGCTTGAAGTGGGTCGAACTATGCGTTATGTAGGAAATGATCTAGGAGTAGCCCCTTCTGTTATCTACAGACTTTGGAAGCGATACCGTGAGACGGGAGAATACTCACGAAGGCGTGGTCAAGGTCGAAAGAGAAAAACTACACGTTTGCAAGATCGCTACATCGTCAACTGTGCTTTACGTAACCGCACCACAACTGCAAGAGATCTACAAAATACACTAAGGACGGCTACTGGTGTAGAAATTTCCGACCAGACAGTAAGAAATAGGTTGTTGGAAGCCAATTTGAGATCACGCCGACCAGTTCGGGCTGTGCGTCTAACAATTCAACATAGACAAGCTCGCCGACAGTTCGCGCAAAATCACGCTAATTGGCAACTTCGACATTGGAGGCCAGTGCTTTTTACTGACGAATCACGATTCCGTCTAACACGTTGCGATGGTCGTCTCCGTGTTTACAGACGCCCAGGCGAGCGATACAGTGCAGCAGCAGTCCAGGAATATGACAAATTTGGATGTGGCTCAGTGATGGTTTGGGGCGGAGTTAGTTTGGACGAGCGCACAGATCTCGTCGTTGTTCCCGGGCGCTTGTGTGCTCAAACTTACATTGAAAATGTGCTCGAAGATCATGTTTGGCCCGCAGCATGTGGTATGGGCCCAGATTTTCTTTTAATGCAAGATAATGCCAGGCCGCATACTGCAGCCATCACGTCAGATTACTTACGACAGCAGGAAATCCGTGTAATGGAGTGGCCTTCCATGAGCCCTGACCTAAATCCAATAGAACACATTTGGGCCTTGCTTGACAGGCGCATCCGGAAGCGTCCGATTGCACCTCAAACACTGCAGCAGCTCACTGAAGCGTTGATTGAAGAATGGGAGCGAATTCCACAAGAAGATATTCGGAGGATCATACGAATCATACTAAAGACGAATATTCAAACGATTTAAGAATATTTCTTTGATGGACCTTTTTTATCACCAATTAGTTTTTCGTCTACAATGCACTTTTTAATTTTTTTTTAATAAAAAAAATACAAATTGAATTTTTTTATTAATTGTAGTAATTAACAAATTAACAAGGTAAAAATAGCGTACAAGTTAATTTAAATCTAATTTTAGTTTAAGCAATAGAAAGGAGAAAAATCTTGTTCCGCTAATTGTTTTGAGCAGTATATACATATAGACTAGCTGAGCCGGCAAACGTTGTTTTGCCATGTACTTATATTATTTCTGGGAAACATTTTGTTAGTCCAATAAAATAACTATCTACATAATAGAAAATAGGGGTTGATCGAAGAGGCGTGAAAATAAGGGGTTGTGTGTATTTTTGAATGCTGTATCATAAACAAATAAAAACGTAAAAAAAAATTTAAAAAATAAAAATTGGGGTGGATACCCCTTATCACTTAGGGGTTTGAAAGATAGATTGAAGCCGATTCTCAGACTTACTGAATATGAATATAAAATTTCATTGGAATCAGTCTAGCCGTTTCGGAGGAGTACGGGAACGAACATTGTGACACGAGAATTTTATATATTAGATGTAAGTTATTTATTGAGTATAACCACGGAATGTGATCGTTGACGTCAACTAATTAATTTTGATAAACTTAAATTTCCGGGCATTTTTTATGTTTGGTAAAAACATATTCACATTATTTATTTATCAAAGTAATTAATTAAGAAACGTAAAGTAATTAATGTATAATATTCAAAAATTATAAAAAAAAATCACATTAAATTTAATAACAAACAACAGTCCGCACATTAAGTCATCATAATCTAAACTATTCTTATTCTTTACTCTTCATAAAAACTTTTCTATTTTTCAATTTATTAATTATTTTGAATTTGGATTATTTTAAAAACTTCTTTCAATGTTACGCCATCCCACATATTTTTTTCATGTTCATTATCAAATTACAATATGGAATGGGGTGATAAAGAAAATAGTATTGCAGTGATCGCCTAGCACAAAGTGGGTATGGAGCCGTCGGTCATATTCCAGACACTTCAAAAGCATGGTATCAGCCGTATGTTCGTATACCATACTATCAACAGATACAACACTTTGTCTATCGAAGACCAGAAAAGATCAGGGCGGCCGCGCACTGTTAGAACTACAAAGGCTGTTAATGCTGTTAAAGCCAGAATTCATCGAAACCCCATTAGGAAGCAAAAAATCTTATCGTGAGAAATGAAGATTTCCGCTAAGCCTCTGTCGCTATACGCAGATGAAAAGCACAGAAATATCGAAATATAAAAAATTTCACGATTGAAGAACATTACAATAAGCGAAATGATAATACACTTATAGTTCTAAAGAAGTTGCTCAAGTGGTCGGATAAGTACAACGTGGAACATCCTGCGTCAGTGATATTTTGGTGTGGCTTGTCTTATCAAGGAGTCACAAAGCAATTAAACTTTTTAAAATGGTCACGAAAGTAATGCAAAAATGCGTATAGGTTAAGGAACAGACTAAACTTCGTAAATAAACAACCTTTGATTATAGTGACGTCTATAATAAAAAAAACGGTTTTTATAAATGATTAAGATCTAAATGAAAAACTAAAAACTTCTTAAAATATATTTTTAAATATTAAATACATTATAATTTTTAGAAACCAATCTTGACGTTTACACCAAAAGGTTTTTTTGTTTATGTACTAAATTTTAATTATATAAAGAACTAGCTGACTCGGCGATCTTCGTTCCGCCTAACAGTCTAATAATATCGTATTAAGTTAAACTTAATTTAGGATTTCATTAAGGTAATAACATTAATACAACTTTATTTGCAAATACAGAAATGTTTTATTGCTTGCCATTGCGAAAGAAGAATGGCAGTTTTACGCATAAGCCTCTTCTCTCTAGCGCCAATATTGCGTGCATGTTAAAGCACTTTCTGATACAACATTTTTTTATGAGGTAACACATGTCTTCTATCAAGATCAAAGGCTGGTTATGCATCTCCTCATGCACCTCAAGATCGAAATTTCTTGAACTGACATGAATTGAATGTAAAATGATGCGTAGTTTTGTCAACTGATTGCACCACATGATGTTGGAATTCGTAAAATTAATTAATCAATTAATTGTTATTCGATAACTTATCCGATATTTTATAACTTATTCTGCGATTCGGAGCGGAGAAGAATCCACCAAAAAAGAGATGACTAACATCGGTCCAGCCGATCTTGAGTTATAAGTCGTGTAACTAACGCGACTTTGTTTTATATTTTTAGATTAATCTACTATTATTTTGTTATTCTATTATTTGTACGAATCTTAATTAACATTCTCAAATATGTACTTTTCGCCTTACCCATAACGAATAAATCAGTTTGTTACTATTTTCATCTAATGTCATTTTTCATCACAATGTAAATATAATTTGACAGAAAGAAACAAAAGAGTACTTTAGTTGTAATTTGGCTGTTTTAGTTTCTTATAACATAATAGTTAAAGTTAGTCTTTGAGTATAGCTTTAAGACCTAATCATGATTTAAAACTTTATATTTCAGAACGGACGACATCTCCGTGTATAATATAAATTCCAGTTCGGAAAATCATATTACTTGAAAAAGCGGTTCTGATTTATATTTAGAACAAAGCAAGCGATTAGGATACTGTAAATATAATTCCGTGCGATTCCAAGTTTGTAAAATCAGCTACGGATATTGCGAAAACTACATATATTAACGTCGAGATATCAAATTACAGAGTACGGGACTTCGCCAGAGAAAATAATCTGTATAATTATAATAATAACTTAATTTTTTAAACTCTTGATACATAATAATAATAATTTAATTTTAACTCAAGATAAATAATTATACCAACCCGACCCGCTTATTCAATATAATTTTAACAGTAATTGTATAACTTAAAACGCTTTCGCTAAATTGTCTCGCAAAGCAGATACGTTAATATTTTACAAACGAAAACTACTTAAAATGTGAATATAAAGTTAGCATCCTTGGTGTTCCATTTAATTTTTTTAAGAAATTTATCACAAAAAGCTTTATTGTAACCTTGCAGATTGAATATATATATCAAAGGAAATGATGATTGAGGTCTGTATAAAATTGGTGTGAAAAGAAAGTCTCGTCTTGATTTTATAATATTTTAATGTAAAGCCTAGGTTGAAATAATATTTAACTTCATTAAAAAATAGGTATCATAATGTTTAAATTAATAAAACTATGTTCCATATAACAAATTATACAAAAATTAAAAAATCTACTGAAGACACCCAAAATAAGAATAATATGAATTGGCTTTTAATACGGTACGTTCAGCAGTATTTTAAATTACTTTAAGCGTCATTTACATGGAGTTAATTGAAGGATTTAAAACGAAATTCTGTGGCCAGAGGCGATACGGTAATCGCATTCGACTTTACACAAAAATAAACTAAGTTTACGTTAACCAATCTTTCAATGACTAGGCCGCTTAGCACTTAATCGTTTAATTAATAAAATGTTTTCCTTTCAGTATAGAAATTCTCTATTTATCGGACGTCAAGGCAAAATACAAAATACCATCAGTATCACCTCGACGTCCGTCGTTCCACAACTGAGCGTTTTCTAGGGCAGTTTTTACCGCGCACCTCCACTATGTGGAACCTGCTGCCCACTGAAGTATTTCCGAACCAATTCGACTTAGGGTCCTTCAAGAAAAGAGCGTACCAATTCTTGAAAGGCCGGCAACGTACTAACGAGCCTTCTAGCAGTGTGAGTGTCCATGGGCGGCGGTATCACTTAACATCAGATGAGCCTCCTGCCCGTTTGCCTCCTATTACATAAAAAAAAACATGAGGCTTAAATCATTTTTTGTACTCAAAGGACATATTAAAAAAAAATGTAATTACTTATTTAATAAAATTAAATCTTATTTTCCTTTCAGTAAAAACTCCCGAACGCCCCTGCAGAATATGGCACTGTACTCTTTCCAATCGATGTTGTTGACGTCACATGGGAACGACTTCTTGTCGTGTTCATCCAGAGTGAAGATTAAGGCCTGGGTCTTTTTCGATTTAATGAGCCAGGATGTAGACGTTACCGGCCTAAGAATATCTCGTAGGACAGATGAACGAGAACCTTCTTTTAAGTGTCTGAAAAATGAAAATAAATGTTACAATTTTGTTTTTGTATCGCTTCTAATGTTCATGCTTATGTAGGGAGGTTCCTAAGTTTCTGGTGAGACAATTTTTGCTTAATTTAACCAAACTATATCATAAAATATTGTTTGATTTCGTGAACGTAGCATTACACAAAAGTCTAATCTCTTTTCTACCTAGAATAAGACATGAAAACAAAGACAGAACAACAAGAACTTTTGACGTTCCAAAGTGCCATTTTAGATGGTCTAATTGAAATAAACGATTTGACTTTGACAAGTACTTGACACATTTATTTGATTTGGTGATCAAACGGCAACTTGCAAGGCGACTCTTAATTTAAAGAAGCCCGAAGTTGCAATAGCTCTGGGACCAAGTTTACGTAATGAGGTATTGGTGGTATATGGTCGTAGATTATTGTTTGTCAAACTTAAAGGTACTTAAAATAACCATGGTAATCCCACTGGTGATATAATGTTAATAGTAGATACGTGAACATTGCATTATTTAATGCAATATTTACATTGTTCTAAATGGATTAAGAATCTTTACGCGTATAAAAATTAAATTTGACATTTATATCAACTTTCTCCCACGTTACTTAAAGTTGTCGTGATATTATAGTTAAATTAAGTTAGGATTAGAGTTAACATTTCCGTGTAATGAATTGTATCAGCCCTCTATGCTTGACACTTTGGCCATTGATAGCGTTTATATTTTCCTTTACTGTAAAAGAAAGTATTTAAACTATTATATTTAGTATTAATTCGAACATTCAGATTCTAATGGCACAACCGGTTTTTGAACACAGGACTTCAGAGTAGAGAGGCGCCTTGCCACGATTAACTTAAGTGATAAATGTTTTTATAAATACATAGTTTCATGTGTTATCCAAATTGGTGAAATATAGTATTAATAAACTATAAGCTTTAATTAATATCACCGCCGATTATTTAGTTACAAAATGTGGTACGCTTATTATTTTTTTGGTAATTGGTACGGTACGCTTTTTTTACATTATGAGTGTGATTTCCTATTGTGAGAGCAGACCTCACGGGTATTATCTGTCAAATCCTTTAATTATAAAGTTTATGCAATACCTTTGTAACAACACATAAACGTTATTTGAGGTTTATAAACAATTCTCGACCTTAACCTGATTTAAAATTTAGAATTTTAATATGTGCTTAACATCCCATTTTTGTGTCAGACACAAAACCCAACCCTACTTGATTATGAAGAGTAATCTACATCTATATATATAAAAATGAAACCCGTTTTCCGTTGTCACGACATAACATGAAAACGGCTTGACTGATTTGTCTGATTCTTTTTTTATAATATTCCTTGAAGTACGAGGATGGTTCTTACGGAGAGAAAAATTTAAAAAAAATTGAGTGAAAAAGTCTAAAAACAACACTTTTATATATTCCCATACAAAATATTCGTAATAATATTTAAAGGCAATTTGAACTTTAATACCATATCATAAAGTTCAAGTGTTAGTGGAGGGGTTCCGGGAAGGTAAATTTTTATTTTTTTGACATAATGTATTTGTTGTATTATCAACTTTCTTTTTTTTATCTTACTAGCTAGACCGGTGTCCCGAATAGCAGAATAAGTATTAAAAAAAAAATAAAGAATCGACTGTTAGGCGGTACGATGTTCGCCAGGCCACCTAGTTATTTATACAAAGTAAGATTTGATAGTCTGCATTTAATACGCTCCAAAACTACTGGTCCTATTTGAAAAAATCTTCTACCATTAGAACCGTACATTACCCTCGAGGATTAGGGAAAATGTAGATAGATTAGGATAGGCTATATAATATATTCAAATAAGTTAGAAATCCGTTTGAAATCTTTGATAATCTAACCACAAGGTATGAAAAAATAACAATAAATTCTAAAACTGAGAAACCATTGACAATACAAACAACGGAAAAAAGTAGGCATGTTTATAAAGAAAATTTAGTCTCCTGTTCGTCAAAGAGTAGAAACTTATCCTAAGTGCATTCTCTTGATAAAAAATTACCTAGGTGTTTTTCCTCTTAAGACGAGTCCGACATCAGCAAAGAAACAAGGTACTGTTTGCAGAATAAATGTCATGGTATTCACTACGAATGTTGATTTTGATACCTTTATTTCTTGCATGTTCCTTTTAGCTGAAAACAGGTAATTTCACAACTAGCAATAATCATTTCGAATAACATTTTGAATTTTGAGTGGTAAGACCAAAATTATTGTAAGAATTACACGAGCTACTTTTTTTACGGGTATTAAAATTAATAAAAAAATAGATCGTAAAGTTTTATTTACCATAAGAATAATAAAAGTCGAAAAAAAGATTTTTAATGCTTCCATGATTTTAGCCTATCCACATTAAAAGACCGATTACAACAAAAAAAAACAATTAAGTAAGTACAACTTTTTTTCTATGATTTTGGTAGCTTAGAACCCTGCTTAGTTTTTAAACTTAGCCAGAAGCTATGGAAACTTATTTTTATATTTTTAATATGAAGTCGAATATTTGGGCAAATCCAGCTAAAAACTAAACTTCTAACTTTAAAACCTTTTTTGAGTAGCTTTAACTAATTTTAGGAAGCTGAGTTTTTTTTTATTTGAACAACATTTAAGACAACACTAAAAAATGGGCCTATCAAAACATATCGATGACATAACAGGCAAAGCGTATAATGCCGGCCATACACGCTACGGTCTACCGGAGAGGTAATCTGTGCAGGTATGCCTGCGCAGGTCAACCGAACAAAGGTAGCGTGTATGGGGACGTTTCGGTACCGTACGGTGTCACTAGAAAGAATCGATTTTCGATCTTGCGCCGGTCGCCTGCACGGGTTCAAAAACCTGCACAGGTCTATTCCCACACACATTCCGGTACAGGTGGACCTCTCCGGTAGACCGTAGCGTGTATGGCCGGCATAAGCAACTAGGATTTGTCAAGCGGTCATGCATTAAAAGGCTATATTTTGCTTATGTTTGAAGCGTGCTGGAGTATGCGGGTGTTATCTGCTCTACATATTAAATAAAATATAAAAAAGCAGTAGAAAATATACAAAAAAGTTTGTGAAATTCCTTATTTTTAAAAAATATCAATGCTTCGATAGTTATGCAGGTTCTTGCATATATTTTAATTTAGACTCTTTGGAATGTCGGCGAAGACAGCAAGACTTGCTTTTTTACACGCTATTCTTAATGGGCGGATAGATAGCCCCTATTTGCTGTCGTTAATTTCTCACAATATTCCTCTTCCTAATGCGACAAGACATACAAAATTGTTCCATGTGCCTGGTACAAACTCGAATTACCTGCATAATTCGCCAATATTTCGGGTTTTATCTAACTATGACACTAATTATGAGGATATTGATATTTTCCACCTCACCAAAGAAGATATGAGAAAGTATTTGAAGGGGCGGGAAGATTCTAATTTTGTTTAAGCAGTGATTTGAAATATTGAGTATTGTTTGTTGTTTTAAATGTTAAATATCAGTTTTTTATATAGTTTTGTCTATTAATGTACTTATTTATTTTCTGTTTCGTATATATTATTTCTCTATGTAATCGGTTTTGACTTTCTGTATTGTCTAAGTGTTTTGTTTTATATGTATATATATGTTAGCTGTAATTTTACTTATAACTAAATAAATAAATAACAGTGCAGTTGCAGCGAAAGTATGTTAAACGTCTGATTTGGTACTCTGTTAAAATTATAATTATTTCTATTAAGTTAAAATTAAATCATTATTAATTATTATAACTGAACAGAGAATTTTCTCTTGTGAAGTTCTGTATTCTGTTACTTGTATACCGACGTTAATGTATGCAATTTTCTAATGTAGTTTTCTTAATATCCGTAGCTGATGTTGTATCATGACTGTAAGATTTTGCGTCATGTATTCAAAGTAGGTTAATTATACTTACAGTAGCCCAAGCGTTTGCTTTGTTCTAAATATAAATCAGAACCGCATTTCCAAGTAATAGGATTTTCCGAACTGGAGTTTATATTATATACAGAGATATCATCCGTTCTGAAATATAGTTTTAAATCATGATAAGATCTTGAAGCTATACTCAAAGACTAACTTTAACTATCAAGTTATGGTTTTAATATGTTTATAGTAGATCAAAACCGATTCAAAAAACTAAAACAGCCAAATTACAACTGAAGTACTCTTTTGTTTCTTTTTGGAAAATTGTGTTTACACTGTGAAGAAAAAAGACAGACATTAGATAAAAATGGTGAAAGAGAGGTTATTCTTTATGGATAAGGCGGAAATTATTTGAAAATCATCAATTAAGATTCGTAGAAATAAGCGAAAAACTAAATTCTATAATATCCTATTTATAGAAAAACACAAAAAAAATCACAGATTTTAATGGAATTTTGTGTTTTAAGTTTACTATTACTGATTAAATTCACATATAACATATAGCGCTGTATTCAGCACAATACAGCCCTAGCAATACAGACTTTGGCAACTTACATAGCTCCTTTAGCCCCGGCTATGATGATTAAATTTGCAACGTAATCAACGGGAATAAGATCGCAAACGACATCCTCAGTGCTATAAATGTAAGGATTTAGACCCCTTGATAAATTACTGAAGACGGCTGTAGCTGCCACCCAACTGTCCACCCAACCAGGAAGCGGCTCGTGGTACAATGGCGTAACTGGAAAATATAATATTTAAAGAACTTTATTTTAATTACAAAAAAAAAGTAGGTATATAATATTTTATTTTCAGGAGACATAGGTATATAAGAGTTTTATTTACAGCGAACCGTAGAAAACGGCGCGCCCCTCCCCGCTCCGCCCCCCTCCCCTTCCGTGTGGCGGGGCGAGGGGGGGGGGGTTTTTTTTTTTTGGGGGGCGGGGTTTGTTTTTTGAAACGTTTGTACAGTTTTATGCGGGTACCTCGTGTGGATGACAATTATTTCAAAATGGCAGTTTGGAGCGTGGAAGCAGTGACAGGTTTTATAAGGATATATCGGGAACATCCATGTCAATATGGCAAGTTAAAAAAAATCCCCCTTTTTAAAACCCATTTTTTTTTTTTTCAATAAACCCGTCCAGTTGCCAGATATCTTAATGTTGCGGAAAAGACGTTCTTCTGGTGTTATGCATTTTTTTAAAACCTTTTTTGTATCTTGCTTAGTAATTCTGTGACGAGATAAGTTCCAATAAGCAATCAAAATTATCGCCGTTAAGCCCATCCTTAGGTAATTTTTAAAATCTTCTGATAGTTTTCTCTTTTTGAACATGGGTAAATGTCCAAATTTTCGTCTTTACCCATACACGCTCTTTACGATTATTTTAGACGGGTAGATTCAAGATTAAATAATTGTACACCCTGCATTTATACGTACTTTTATCTGCAGGAAAGCGAATAGACATTTGAACTGCAGTTCAAACTGTTATTACAATTGAAGCGTAAAAAAGAACCCACACCACCCCCCGCGCGCCCTATTAGCTCAGGTTTTTTGAGTAGATGTGCGCAGTTCAGAAATATTCCGTCAACTGAACATGAAGGCCGCTATAATTGTGTCAACGAGATCCATCCCCCCCCTGTCCCCCTTTTTTTCTCCTCTTCTCCCCCCTTTTGAAATAAGTTCTTAATGCCCCATTGAATTGGTTAAACGTACTATAATAGTACGAATTTTAGAGGGTAATTGATTAAATAATTGTACACCCTCACTACTTACTACATACATAATATTAGCTCAGGTTTTTTTGAGTAGATTAAAAAACTGAAAACTAAAATTGTGTTTTTAAAAAAAGTTTTTCTCTACCCCATTGATGGTCGTACTTAATCCATATTTATAACCCCTTAGATAGTGTATATGTATTAGCAACATCCGCTGAAAATTAAAAAAATCAGATTCAAACACATTACATTTCGTCGTTAGGACGATATAATATTGTCTGTGAAGTTAGCAGAGCACTTACCAGCAGAGCACAAAAAAATTAGAGTTCTGGCAGCACACTCAATAGTTCTATAGTTCCTGATAGTTTTCAGAAAGAGTTCTGGACTTAAAAGTCCAGAACTCTTTCTCAGCATACCTCTATGATGAAAATTGGCAATTGTTTCATTTATTTTAGAAAAATTAAAAAAAAAGCTCTGCTGAGAGAAAGCGGAGAGTTCTGGCCTAGGATTTAATTGTGTTGCCTAGACATCTAAAAGATCTAATAGGTACCCTGGAGTCCCCATGTCTAGACCCAAAAGTTATTTTTTTTTTATTTTTCCAAAATAAATGAAAAAATTGCCAATTTCCATCATACAGGTATGCTCTGCTGAGAGAAAGCGAAGAGTTCTGGCATAGGATTTAATTGTATTGCCTTGACATCTAAAAGATCTAATAGGAACCGCGGAGTTTCTATGTCTAGACCCAAAAAAATTTTTTTTAATTTTTCTAAAATAAGTGAAACAATTGCCAATTTTCATCATAAAGGTATGCTCTGCTGAGAGAAAGCGAAGAGTTCTGGCATAGGATTTAATTGTATTGCCTAGACATCAAAAAGATCTAATAGGAACCGCGGCGTTCCCATGTCTAGACCCATAAGTTATTTTTTATTTTATTTTTCTAAAATAAGTGAAGCAATTGCCATTTTTCATCATAGAGGTATGCTCTGCTGAGAGAAAGCGAAGAGTTCTGGCATAGGATTTAATTGTATTGCCTAGACATCTAAAAGATCTAATAGAAACCGCTGAGTTCCCATGTCTGTACTGTATGTTTTTTTTTTAATTTAGTAAAATCTTTGAATAATGCTCATTATTTCGTTTTCTCTCACTCTTCTTTATTTTTTTTTTGATAATTAAATCTTTTTATTTTTTGATTAAAATGATAGGGAACTGTTACCATTGAAATGATTGTTTTAATGAGACCTTATTTATCGAAATCGGTAAGAAATGCTCTGCTGTGATCGGGAAGCTGTCACAGCATTTTACGATTTAAAAAAAATTTATTTTCTGGACTGGTAAGTGCTCTGCTAACTTCACAGACACGATATAATAGCCTTTATAATAGCATAGCAGACACGCGGAGAGCAATTCTGCTATTTGGACTATCAAAAATGGCTTTTCTTGATCTCATCATACTTCAACCGTCTAAGTCTTAATGGGGATTCTTGCAAAGAATACCATTCTCAAAACGGATTAACCACCACGGCTGAATTGGTCAGGTTGTTGCGGTGCTACATTGTAAGGGAACCAGCATGTCTAAAATCCATAAATAGAGAGCAGAAGGCTGATCACCAACTTGCACAGGCGTATGACCAGCTTGTAGATTGTAAAATGTAAAAATTAAAAAAAAAACTTACCGACATATTCATTAACTTTCGTATCATCTGTTCCATGGTCTCGTATCATCTGTCGGACTGCGGATAATTCTTTCTTAGGAGTGTATAGCTTCTCTTCAACTACTTGGATATGTGAATTTGAAAAGGCGGTCGAAATATAGACGAATTTCTGAAATAATAATTATGTAATATTTAATGTAATAAACTGCAGATAACTTATACTCACACATATGGAAGTACTAGATCTGTGTTTATTAAAGTATAAGCCATATTTGATTTATTAGACACTAATTATTTTTTTTACATAAATACATCTTATTTATAGTCTCTTTCTATCAAATCGTGATTGTGTTATGTTGTGTTGTTTGCGTAATTAAAAAGATGCAATTTTTTTAATTTTTCAGGAAAAATCTTAGGTGTTAAAGAAGTACACGTGTAAAACAAAGTTGATTATATATATATATATATATATATATATATATATATATATATATATATATATATATATATATATATATGCATATTTTGTTTTCCTACTTTGTTTTTTGGATATTACCTCGCTTATCTCGCTACAAATAATTTTGTATGATTTGTATAAAACTGTACAACAATCTAAAGCATTCGGGTGTTTTTATTAAATACTAGCTGACCCGGCGAACGTACGTGTTTCAGATTAGTTGAACTTAATTTATTATTTTATGGATGTAATACAATTAATACAAAATAAATACGGTAATAATGTAAAATAATACAATGAGAAATAAAATTTGTAGCATATCTAAGTAGCTTGATACATTTTCCTTAGTTTATATAAATTTCTAAACGCACGCATAAATATTTGACAACCAAAAATAAAAAATATTTTTTTAGTGGATAACACTGAAAATGTTTAAAACTGGCCAGTCAGAAACATTGCTAATGAAAAATTTTTTGAATTTCAATTTTAGAACTCTTTGGTAACCTTATGTTGTATATTGCATTAATTTATCATTTGTTTTTGATATTATTTTCCTGAGACTGTCATTAACTATTTATAACAATACTCACTTCTAAATTTCTTATTCCCTTAGACAAATCTATCACTCGTTGTGTTCCCTCTACGTTAATGTTGATCATATCTTGAAATTTTTCAGTGAATCTGACGGTAGCTGCCGAGTGAAATACTACTGACACCTAAAAAATATATATATTTATCTAACAATTTTCAATTCATAAAGGTCTGCCAACAGGTACTACAATAAAATAGCTTGTAATATGAAACATCTATTATTTTGTAAATTGTAATTCTGATTTAATTTAAAAACTGTTCAGTTTTCTTTCTATATGTCTCGGCCAACGGAATTTTAAAATATGATTGTTTAATTACTGTATATTATATAAAAATGTAACATACCTTATCAGCCAAAGTCTCTTTGTCATCTGGCGTTAAACCCAGCTGGGTTGTTGTAATGTCTCCTTTGATGGGAATTACTTTCTTCAGATCACCAGGCCTTGTTTGTTTTAATTTATTGAAAAGCTGAATAAAGTAATAAATTTATTAACATTTAATAAACTGCAACCATCTATAGGAGTCGGCGCACATTTTAAACGGTTCTTTATCGTTCAATTTAGTACGAACTCGTAATCTTTGTATGAACTTGGAATTTATACCAAAATGTTAAAAGTCAAAAAAAGACCGTATGGCTTGGGATATTTCTGCGTTTGTTTCATTGATAATTAGATTTGTAGGCGACGAGCCAAAACAATGATTGGTTTTCTGAGGTCGATGTTATGTTTTATTATATTCAAAAATATAAAAAAATATTACAAGCCAATTAATCTTGAACACTAACCGGAACATCAAATATTTTTTGTAAACGTTTTCCTGTGTCTGCGCCATGCTTAGGTCTAATCAGCACAAACACATTTTCAATATCCTTGCAATTGGAAAGTAACCTCTCAATAAATACCTGAAATTTGATAATAATTCGGTAAATTTTATTCTTTGTAAAATTTAATTAAATCCCAATCAGTATCCGATCAGAATCATATGCTTTGCAACGTGTTCAATATTTACCCCCATATTTAAAAAAAATCTAAACAATAGGAACACAACTTTAACTAAAGTAATTTTGTATCAAACGGTGTTTCGTTGTGATAATGAGACTACTGCCTTGCGATTCTGTAACTCACTTTTCGTTTCATTCTCATTTCACTCTCTGAACTTTAGTTAAGAGAGTGAAATGAGACTTTATTGTTTGTTGTGCAGGGTGCAATAATGTAAAGCATTTATATACATATTTAAATGTACCACAAGCGTTGCTGTGGCTAAGGTTTTAGTTATATTACATAGTAGTAACCTATTTAAGGGAAACGGTAGGAGAACACCAGTCATGGGGATCACCATGCTTTTTTGGTGGTAATGCCATTTAATTGTAGCTTATGTGAAACGTTGGTACTTTCAACACAGCGCCATCTGTTAGAATTGTGACCATCAAATAATCAACAAATATTTTGCAATAAAATAATATTGCGGGTATAAATTGAGATGTAAGCTATCCTATCTTTTAAGTTGGATCAAACTACACACGGTGTGCAAATTTGATTGATATCGGTTCGGTAGTTTAGGAGTCCATAACGGACAAACAACGTGACACGTAATTTATATACAGTAAAAGCTCCCTATTCGCGCTTCCTTTATTCGCGCTCCCTTTATTCGCGTTTTCACTATTCGCGGATTAAAAAAATGCAACCCAATTTCTTTATTCGCGGCAAAAAAATTCCTTATTCGCGGATCTAATATTTCATACAAACTGGTGTTTAACGTAATATCATATAGATAATATGGAGTGTAATCCTGATATGAATGTTATGGAATGCTGGAAGAAATTTGACATAGCAAAATGCATCGTAAACATAAAAGAATCATTGGACGAACTGAAACCACACACATTAAAGTCATGCTGGAAAAAATCTATGGCCTGCTCTGACTGCGGAAAATGACGAAGAATCCATGCAAGTTCAAACATTAACTGTGAAAAATCTTAGTGAAGGTTTAAGAATGGCAAATGAGCTTTACGATTTCTTTATGAACATTGATCCATCTATGGAACGAAGTCTTAATTTTATGAGGCAAATTTCTAATGCGACTGCTGAGTACCAGTCAGAATTGAAGGAGCTATTAAAAACTGCCAAGCAAGAGAAAATAACAAAATTCTTCAAACCATTGCCTAAGCATGAGGATCATGATTACATAATCAAAATGTTCAATAACATCAATAAAATTGATTTTCTTATATATTTGTGTTTTTTATTTTGGCACCTAGGAACGTATCCCCTATAAACCCATATAAATTACCATTCTATATTCACGGTTTCTGTATTCGCGGCATATTTATGGAACGTATACCCCGCGAATAAAGAGATTTTACTGTATATTAAGATTATATTTACATTTCTCAAATTAAGGGTGTAGACGAGAAAAACTGACAAGAAACTCCCGGCTCCTGTGTTAAATCGAAAGTTTTGAAGTGAAACTTCTTTAGCGCATGAGGGTAAAACTTTTACGGTTGAAACGCAATAATAATAATATTAAGCGTCACGAAGTTGTGCAGCGTGTTTGTCGAAGAAACGGGAGAGAGCGATTAAGACCGATTGGGAGACAGTGAGAATGGCGAAATACATTATAGAAATTCTATTTTTAAAATTAAAGTTAAAATTATTAGTTTATTTTTATTTTATGCAAAATAATTTATTGGAATCTCAAATAACGAATTGTAAATTAAAATGGCATGTGTTTTTACTATAAAAGAAATATTTTTTTTTTTTTAAATTTGTTTTAATTTTCGACACTTAAAATTTGAAGGACAATTAAATTCATTAAATTCCTAACATATTTTCCTTTTCCCCTCCCTCTAAGTCTCGGAATATAAAGTTATAGATGTGTATAAGTATGAACAAGACTTAAAATTAGTTTGCCAAGTTTCACTTCTGACATGTGCACTTTGTACGCACGCACTTTTTTATCTTGAAGGAGGTTTACTTATTACACTATGCTTCACATAATTAGGCAATTAATCATTATGAAAAGCGATATCCTCTAATAGCAGTGGTAAATTAAGCACGCACGTATATTGTAGTCAGAATTATCAAAAAAACGTAAGTTCAAGGACGTTCAATCTCCTTGAACGTTCGTACTGTTATATATTTAAAACCTTAGAAACAACCCTATGTCAACCTTTATTTTAGCAAGCTTGCATTCTCCTATTCAACTGTCATGAGCATTATCTCTTAGCTTAAAGTCAGTCCCATTTTACGATTTAAACCGAGCAGTTGCCTTTCTAAATCTATATTTCTAAATACAAATAAATTCAAACCTAAATGTGTAAAATAAATTCTTTTTTAAAACTCTAAATCTGTGCACTGACCGCGCGCTGATCCGGGCTTCTACGCTTCAGTATAACATAACATTGGTGGCAATCCGCTCACACGCGCTTCTGGGAGCGGCTTTTGGACCCCGCCCCCAACCCCCGAATAACTCTTCTCCCAGCCCCCCGGCGTTTCTCTGTTCCTTCTTTTTCTCCTCTTTTTTTATCTGTTTTTTCTGTGCTTCTTTCTTTTTTTTTTTCTTTTCCTGAGATAAAACTGTACGTATAAATGCTTTTTAGAGTTTAGATCGCAGTATGGAATGGCGCGTGGAATGTCGACCAATTTTAAAGTTTCTTTCCGCTTTTACCCGGCCCGTAGAAAAAGGTACCCCCCCCCTTTTCCCCCTTTTTTTTTTTTTTTTTTTTTTTTTTTTTTACCAAAAGGGGGGTTTTTTTTTTGTTATAAAAACTCCCCCATTTTTCCCCCCCCCCCCCTTTAAAAAAAAAAACCACCCCCCCCCCTTTTTTTTTTTTTCCCCCCCCCGGGGGGGGGGTTTTTTTTTTTTTTTTTTTTTTTTTTTCCCCCCCCCCTTTTTCCCCCCCCCCCCCCTTTTTGGAAAAACCCCCCCCCCCCCCCCCCCCCCCCCCCCCCCCCCTTTTTTCCCCCCCCCCCCTCCCCCCCCCCCCCCCCCCCCCCCCCCCCCCCCCCCCCCCCTTTTTTTTTTTTTCCCCCCCCCCCCCCCCCCCCCCCCCCCCCCCCCCCCCCCCCCCCCCCCCCCCCCCCCCCCCCCCCCCCCCCCCCCCCCCCCCCCCCCCCCCCCCCCCGGCGGGGGGGGGGGGGGGGGGGCGCGCCCCCCTTTTTCTTTCCTTTTTTTTCTTTTTTTTTTTCCCCTTTTTTTTTTTTCCCCCCTTTTTTTCTCCCCACAAAAATCCTCGGTACGCCTCAGTTGGCAGTCGCTACTAACGAGTGATTACAAAAGTGATTATTTCTGTGAATAACTAGATTTTCCTATTCGCTGTGAATTCTGAAATTGTCTTGCAAAGAAACATCCGCCGTCTCCGCCCCATACATCAAAGATGTTCATTGGTAAAACTGCAGCATCCCTGTAAGTCTTCAAAAAAATCCTATATATTCGTATTTCGGTGTGTTGTGTGAAAACAATTAGTGAAGTTTAAAGTGCTAAAAAAAAGAAAGGTTGTTTTATAATAATTGGTTACAATACAATTAGAAATCAGTGCATGCCTAACCAGTTAGTAACGCTAGCCGTCGTCGCTAGTTATCAGTATTGTTGGTTACATGACAATGCCAAGGAGGAAATCAGTTTGTCACCGCGACGTTATAAATATCAGTTCTAAATAAATTTGAGTAACCGCAAAATTAAGTGCCTTTTTAAATAAGTCGAAATGCAGTCGAACGTTGTTACTCAAAACCAACAGGTATTTTTTTAGTCTAAAGGACGCCAAATCCTACGTTGAGAATTGGCACCAGCTTGAAGATTTCTTAAAATCTCAATTTGGTGATAAAAAGCACTATGCTGCGCTGCTTTCTGATTTACAAGAATGTCGTCAATTTGGCAACGAAACGGTCAACCAGTTTGCATTACGAATCAAGTCTTGCTTGTCAAAATTATTATCCGAAATTAATATAACTATCCCTACTAAGAAAAAGGACGAACTGGCAGGCCGCGTCGCAGCTATGAAAGACTTAGCGTTACACACGTTTGTAGTCGGCCTAAATCCAAGATTGTCTACTGTAGTTCGATGCCGTGACCCTGAATCTTTGAACGACGCCATTAATTTCGCTACTTCGGAAGAAAAGATTATCAATGCTTTGACACGACGAAACACTAATTACGCGCAACCTCCAAACACTCAGAATCAGGCGCGATTCCGCCCATCTCACTCATTATATCCACAAAATAGATTAGCCTTACAACATGGCATTAATAACAATAATAGGAAATTTGGAAACAATCAAAATTCAAACTACAACCGCACAAACCCTACTACTTCCTTTCAAAATCGGAACCAACCGATTCATGCAATAGCTTCTTATGAAGATTATGGTGTCGATGAGATAGTCCTTTATTCGTTTATAATCCTTTAAACGAATAAAGGACTCCCGACGGTGTCTCCCGAGTCCGAAATTTCAACGTCCTCTATTGCTATATCCAAATGACACCGCAAATTCTATATCCTATTACAATTCCAAGGTCACACAACAGGGTAACCAGCCCCAAAATGAAGGCCATATTTCTATTTCTAAATCCAAGGTCACACAACAGGGTAACCAGCCCCAAAACGAAGACCATATTCCTATTTCTAAATCCAAGGTCACACAACAGAGTAACCAGCCCCAAAATGAAGACCATATTTCTATTTCTAAATCCAAGGTCACACAGCAGGGTAACCAGCCCCAAAACGAAGACCATATTCCTATTTCTAAATCCAAGGTCACACAGCAGGGTAACCAGCCCCAAAATGAAGACCATGCTCCTATTTCAAAGTCCAAAGTTACACAACAGGGTAGTCAAACTCATAGTGGTAGCAACGTTAATAAATCAATTTCAAAATCCTCTGTACCACATAACCCTAATTCTAAT